GTGCGTGGGTGGGTGGGTGGGTGGGTGGGTGGGTGTGTGTGTGTGTGCGTGTGTGCGTGTGGGTGTGTGGGTGTGTGGGTGTGTGGGTGTGTGGGTGTGTGGGTGTGTGGGTGTGTGGGTGTGTGGGTGTGTGGGTGTGTGGGTGTGTGGGTGTGCGGGTGTGCGGGTGTGTGGGTGTGTGGGTGTGTGGGTGTGTGGGTGTGTGGCACACAATGTTGCACATTCATGCACGGGCCAACACATAAACATGCACTTGTTTGCTGTGCGAAGCTGCCACGCGGATTGTGTCAGCATGCCAGTGATGCCGGGCGTTCTGTGGTTGTTGTCGCCAGGCCACCACAACGGCTCCTTACTTCACCAGCACCTGCCAGCTGGTGCAGTGCCCACAGCACAGCGAGTCCACCAAGACCCACGAGTTCGGCTGCAAGTGCAAGGCAGTGGGAAGCAAGAGGTAGGAGGCAGCTCTTAGGGTTCCATTTTTGGCCCCACAGACTTATACTCAGGGTTGTTGACTTAAAAAGAAGGGAGCCCCATGGATCTGGGCTTATGTTTTGCTTTGTCAATCAAGTGAAACGGCTGAGCTTGCGGCCCTTAGGGGGCCCCAGCCTTTGTGAAGTGCCGTTTGCAAGACAATGGATTGCCAGGGATGAGTTCTGGCTGCATGCGCTCCTGACGTGCTCACTTGCGTCAGGGCGGCTTCAGTGGCGAGATTGTGCCCAGCACGGCAGCTCGGCACATGATGGTCTGGCAGAAATGTCAGTGGTAGGACGTTATCATGCGAGTGCCACATTCCGCAGAAACCGGTACATGGAACGTTTGGCCTTGCTTTGTGACAAAAGCTAAAGGTCTCAGGCAACTAACATCATGCATACCACGGCATGTGTGCGAGCATGATTCAGCCCAACTCATTTGGCCCTGTTGCAAGGCCTTCAAAACGTAAGACACCACGCAGTCATATGCATATAGACTCACAAGCCACGAGTTGCAAGTTGCTTTGTGCTGGTGTTTCTGGTTCGCTTCCTTCAGGTAGCCCCTTATTTCAGCGGCAAGTGCGCAGAGGCGGGACCCGTGCGTCAACCGCTTGCTACATGGAATTTAAGTCGCTTTGCGATTGAGCGAGTGCTTTTCATTGGGGATTGGGATCTAAGTTGGGCCGTGCGGTGCCTTTCAGCCTCCGTTTGCACTTCCCCTGAACTGAGAGAGCTTTCAGTTGGAGCGTGTGCAGAAAGGAGGAATTTTGCAAAACCCTCAACCTGAACTGAAGTCCTGCTGTGGTGCGAGCATGTTCTGCAAGCAGGTTGCGGGGATTTGAAACGACTGTCATGTCTTGGTACCGCCCAGGCATGGGGCAAAACGGGTGTCAAATGTCAAGCCGCTGACAAAGCATCAGTTCTTTATTGCAGATACACGCAGGAATTCGGACTTGGAATTCCAAGCTCTTGGCAGGTGCCATGCCCCACCAGCAGCAGAGGCGCCAGCGTCAGCCAGGGATGTGGCTGCGAGGCAGGCCACTTGGCCGACAAGAGCAAGGGCTCGCTCATTTTTTTACCTGGGCGAAACGGTCCCTCTTTAGGAGCGCGGGGCTGTTCTACTGGGCATGCTCCCCAACGCCTGCGGGCTAGAGGCCTCAAAGGTTCACATCGGAGAGAAAGCATGAGCCAGGGTCAGCAGAGCATTCAAGCCGGAAATTGTGGGTGCGAATGTGCTGAGCGTTGCTTGTGACGACTCGCGGATTCGTGCTCGAGCCCAGGCTTCAAGGGCTCGGTGGTGGCCACACAGCAGACACCCTTCTACCAGAGCAGCTGGGCTGGGGCGGGACTTGAGCAATGTGCATTTGGCAAACGGGTGCCCAGTCAGAGTATCTTGAGATTTGAGTTGCTTTGTTTGTTGGATGAAAGTCATGTTTTGCACTCGTGCGGTGCTTGAGACTGAGATCCTAGCCTTCACACTTGTCCTGATCAAAGGCAACAACACGCAAGACGAGACACATGCGTGCTCGAGGCTTGCATCAGACAGAGAAAAGGGCCTGCAACAGCCATTTCTCTGGCCTTCCCAACAACAAAAGCCAGCGGCTTTGGGTAGAGCGGCCTGGCCTGAAATCAGGGAGTGCCACTGTTGAGGCCAACGAACTACTGGCTTCGGATGCATGTCTTCAACAAAGGTCACACTTGCCATGACACCGCAAGAGCAATCTGCACGCCCAATGCCACACGACTTGCAGGATGGACTTGCGCAGGTCCTGAATTCGAAGGAATCAGGGAAACCATGCCAAGACTTGAGCTTGGCGCACAGGGGGCCATCAAAACAAGAGAGTCCCTTTCAGATGGTGTGTTCCCAGAATTAACTGACATTGAATCTCAACAACACGTGGGTGCAGTAGGGTTTTCATACCGAGGTTTACCTTGTGACCCCCCAACAATCACGCAACGGCAAGCGTATTCACTCCCCTATCTCACCCTGTGGGGATCCCTAAAGCTGAGGTTCCCCTTTCAAAATGACCAAAAGGGGCAGTTACACTCGAAAAGAGACATGCCCTCAGTGGATTTCCACGAGAGAGTTCTGGGTGCTTACTCCGAGGCACCTGCGAGGCCATGAGCTGCCCCAATGGCACCTCGGGCAAGTCCCTCAGCGCGGGCTGCCTCTGCGCGGCCGGGGAAATGGGCGACGTCACAGCCACCAGCAGCGCGCCGTTCCTCGAGATGTTGAGATGGGTGGCATTGAGAAATGGTTGCGGTTCCTGTCTTTATGGGAACCCCCCCCCCAAACAAAAAACATCGTAGCTCCTTTTAGCTTTTAACTTTCCTTTATAGCCACCAACAGTGGGGTACCCTGAAAGACAATGCCATACTTTGTTTGCCTTTCTCCATGTCTTTGTGCGGGTGTGTTTGTGAGGCTTATTATACCTCACATCTTCACGGCAGGTTTCGCAACGGGTGGCTTTTGTTGGGTGTCCTGATTGAGTTCGGGACATACCTACAATTGCTTTTTCCCCCGGGGGGGGGGTGATAGCACAGACTCGAATTGACCTTTCAAATATCATGGGCGTGCGCCTTTGCAGGATGATTTTCTTTCAACACCATTTGCACACTTCTATGATTGCTGAGCAGAGGATAGCGGTTTGGAAAAATGAATGCGCAATCGTGTCCGCCCTGGATTCCTGCTAGTGGTCACGAACGGTTGCGGGTGCTCCTGCCTGAGGCGGATATCCGTGAGTAGAGGAGTAGCTGGGCCACTCTCCCATCGGTTGGATGGTTGATATTGGGTTGGTGCTTTGCCAACTCCGTAAGGTGCCGGTTCCCGAAACCCTTCGTCCGGCCGGCAGTCTTATCTCCAGCGCTCAATGCAAACTTCCCTCAACTCATCGCCGCCTATCCCCCCCACCAGTTGGCCTACACGGGATGCCTCCAGCCTCAGGTTCTACAAGAGTACTTGCACTCCGTTGAACTGCCCAGCCAACACCACGGGCCAGAATCTCGTGAAGGGTTGCAAGTGCGCTCCGGGCTTCAGCGGATCAGTGGCCGCTTCTTCGGTGGCGCCCTACTATGCCACCTTGGCAGCAGACAGAACGGACACGGGATCGATTCGTCACCCACACTGCCATGCACTGCCTGATTCATAGCTCGAGCTGCTTGACAATTATGTGAAGAGCAGGAATTGAGGTCTGGCCGGACCAGGTTCACCGTGTTGGCAATTAGAAGTTCAGGCAAGGCAGAACTGAAGCTGAATGTAGCCCAACAACATGAGAAACATCCATCCTAAGGTTGTTGCATGCTGGTGATGAGGGGCAAACCTTGGGCCACTGCAGCCTCTAGTGGCCGTACCAAGGTCAGCAGTTGCACTGCGGTGCCATGCCCCAACTCTGAGGGCACAAACGTGGCCAGCGGCTGCCACTGTCGGGCTGGCTACCAGGGCCACATTAGCCCGACCGACGCCGCTCCTTACTACAAGGCCTTAGATTGTGCATTGCCGCATATTGCCGCTCTTGGTGGCTTGTGGTGGCTTGAGCCACGCGACGGGATTAGCAGTCGCTGCACTGGGGTTGGCAGTGCAACTTCGACATAGGCAGTATTAAGTTTGCTGCAATTCCTGCCGGTGACGGTTTGGGTTCGCATCAAACCAAGCATGCTTTCGTCGGGTTTTGGCTTCCCGGTTCCAAGAGGTTCAAATGCCGAATGCCTCTTCGCTCGAACGACAGGGCGCCTGCACTCCGGTGGCCTGCCCCGCCAACTCAGAGGGCATTGACCTCTCTGCCGGCTGCACATGTAAAGCGTCTCGGCAGGCGTCGCAGGCCATGCACGATGCCGGACCTTTAGCCTTGTGTTACCCATCGCACCTGTTGAAGTCTGCGAACCCTCGTACATTTGTATCTCCCGAATTGTCTCCGCTTGAAGCAAGTGCATGATTCGCTGGTTGCCGCCTTTTTGCGTATTGTGTTCCAGATGCCTCAGCCCAATGAAAGGAGCGGGTGTTAAGTCTCGCTCGAGCCCTATGTCAAGGGCACTAATTCTCCACATATGGAATCACACCTTGACGCTCGTGTTGTCGATTGAGAAGATCATTTGGGATGTTGCACATCCAAGGCGGGCTTCAAGGGCTCCATCAACGCCACCAGCGCCTCTCCCTTCTTCTCGGGCGTTTGCTCGGCGGTGGCCTGTCCCAAGGACTCGGAGGGCGAGAGCACGCCCAAAGGCTGCCGATGCAAAGCCGGGTTCAACGGCAAGGTGCTGGCGACCACCAAGGTGAGGGCAACTGGCAACAGGCAAAAGATGATTTCCTCCGGTGTTCTTGCAGTTTGGGAAGGCAGACTTGTTTTTTGCATTTCCTTGGCTTGTTGCTGCCTTTTTCAATGGCCAAGTGTGCTCTAGGTTGGCCGAAGCACAGTGATGGAAAACAAGGACAGGGCCAGTGGACGCAACAAGATGTTGAAACCATCCTGGCAGCTTGACTTTGACATTTCGCTTGGCTCAACATAGTTGGCGCTAGTTGAGAGATGGATTCTTGCATATTCTTGCTGCTAGTGTTCGACCGCTTGTCTCTAAATGGAGAACCTGCAAAACGGGTGGTTTCCCTTTGGTTGCCCTTTAAACCACCGCCACAAAAAGGGTACCCTAGTAGACACACGTGCCAATCTCCGTCTGGTCCAGTCCATTCCCTGCAGGCGCCTTTCTTCGAGAGCTCCTGCCAGGCAGTTCCGTGCCCTGTGAACTCGGAGGGGGCAGATGTGGCGGCCGGGTGCTCCTGCAAGGCCGGCTACTCTGGCAAGATCGCCGCTTGGATTCGAAGTGACGTCAAATGAATCCGACTCATGCTTTCGACTCAATGATGTTGATCGCTTGCCCCCCAAAGGCCATCAAAGGCCCACAGAAAAGCGGCACGTTTTCGGATCGCATCTTAGGTTGCGTCCGCCAGCTCCCCCTTCTTCACGGGTAACTGCACCCCCATCAGCTGCCCAGCTCACTCCAGCGGCAGCAGCGTGGCAGCGGGCTGCATTTGCAACCCGGGCTACAGCGGCACCATCGCGGTGCAGAAGACGTCGCCCTACTTCTCCGGGACTTGTGTGCCTCGGACTTGCAACCGTTCGGGGCATTTGGCGTCCTCGGTTATTGCCGTTGACTGTGGAGAGCAACCCTGTGCGTCTTTATTTGGGAGAGGCTAGGTGTTGCAGGCTTTGCTTGGGGTCCATGGGTCCTCATGCTGAGTTCAGGGATTTGGGGCGAGCTTTCTCGGAGACCAGCTTCGTTTGCCCTCAATGCCTACCGAGCAAGTACAAGTAGAGGCTCCCAAAGGAGCAAGTATAAGTAGAGGCTACCATAGCACGACAATGTGCACAGTCGTTCACCCACGAACATTCCTTGCAGTCATGAGCCCCGCGTCAATCAGACGACATTGCACTGGTAAGATGCAATTGCTTGCTGGCCGGGGCGGTTGGACATTTCGACCAGATCGATGACAGTCAGATAGCTGTTTTTGTTGGTGGCCATGATTGCTTTTGCTGAAGCTGCCTAAGGGCATCCTATGCCCCCCTTTGCTTCAAGGGGTTCTTCACTCCGCACATCTCCGCACAATCGGTCCGTTCCATATTCTTTTGCGAGGCAGCCGTGGCCTGCCCCGAGAACTCCATTGGCTTAAACGTGGCCAGCGGCTGTACTTGCAAGGCGCCAATTTCTGGCCGCAATGTCAACGGAAAGGCGGTTCATGTTACCAAGACCAGTAGACCTGTGGCAGCTCGATTTGATGCTAACGGTTCCATTCTGCTGGCGGCTTTCAACGTGTTGACGCATGGTCGGATGGTGATGCTGCTTGGGGGCCCCATCAGCGGCGCACAATGAGCTCATCGCTCCAACGGGCCCCCTGAAAAGAGCATGCCAGAAATGGCAGGAAGGCGCATTCAGCATGTCAGGCAGGCTTCAGCGGCACCATCGAGGCCTCGCGTGATGCGCCTTATTTTGAGGGCAGCTGTCTCTTGGCAGCGTGTGCGACGCGCAGTTGCCCATGTGACATGTCACGTTGAAGAATTGAGGGGTTTGGGTGGCTGATGGATCAGATAGATGGATGCACTGGGTACTAGCTCATTTGCGCATTGCCAACCGAAGCCGTGCCCAACAAACCAGCTGCACAGATGTACTTTGCTGATTGCTTTTAGTTGGCTCCAACATTTGGAGGTGCCAGGTTGGCAACGGGTTGCTTTTGGAGCTAGATGTGGTTGCCCAACATGACACACCCGTTTCTCCGTTTTACAATCTTGGTTTCACCAACTCAGGGGTCCTTCAATTTCCCGTTTTGGATCTTTAAAAGTGACAGTTTCAAAGAAGCACCAATACATTGCAACTTTTGAAAGAGAAATCCAATGATTCCTGACTCTGAGCACCTTGAGGCTTATCAGTGGACTGTGCGGAGAACTCTCTTGGGAACTCTGTTGCAGAAGGCGGGTGGGGCAAAAGCTGCGCGAAAAGATCCAGTGATTTGGTCCTGTTTGACCTTGTCAATTTGGCTGGCCGAGTACAACAGACAGATGCATGCATGCAAACGGAAGAACCAAAAGAAAACCTTCGTCCTTCGCTGGGTGCTTCAATGTATCAGTCGCGGGCAACAAGTCTGCAAAGTGGGCGACCGAGCTGTTGGGGCAGAACTCGCTTCCCTCACAAACCAGTTTGGTCCTCGAGGGTGGCGCCTCCAGCTGTACCTTCCGCATCTCTTCAGGGAGCCTTCTCTCCAAACGATTGGGCAACTGGGAAAATTGTTGGTTTCGACAAAGAACAAATGACGAGATCGAATCAACCCTTAGAGGTTGCAGCTGCATTCGCAGCTAGTCTGAGCCGAGCTCTCGTCGCCCTTTCAAATCCGGCAGGCTGCACCTGCGCCGCTGGCTTCAGTGGGAAGATCACCAAGAGCACGGAGGCGCCCTTCTACGAAGGCAGCTGCGTGCCGGCCCCTTGGCTTGCCCCTTTGGTGTGTTTTGTTTACATCTTCAGGTGGAGATGTTTTAGACTGAGCATTTGGGGCTTAAGACAGGTTGGAAGGGGGAAGGTGAGTCGTTGCAGAAGCTTCAGGGGCAATTTGGCACGTGGTGCAACGTCTGGGATTCATGCGCCGTCGTTTCATGCTTTCCGTAGCAGAATGGGGTTCTCATATATTTTTCAGCCCTGCGGCTGTTCAGGCTAGTGGCGCCGTAAAGTGAAGCTTCGGCCATCGCGGACAAACAAACCACGCACTCGGCGGTGTAATGTGTCTTTTGCGGATTGTGATTTCTCAGCGCGGATTGGCCAACTCTGCGGTCCGTTCGAATCCGTAGGTGAACTGCCCGGCCAACTCTGCGGGCGTGGACGTGAGCTCCGGGTGCAGCTGCAACGAGGGCTTCGGCGGCTCGGTCTCGGCGACCAGCACGGCGCCGTACTACAAGAGCACCTGCCAGGCAGCGCCCTGGCTGCTTTGGCGCAAGCGTGGTAAGCGTGGAGGCCGTAGAGGTGTTGCAAGTTGGTGTCCTTCTTCTTGTTTTGCCTTTTGATTTATGGCAGTTGTGGTGCAGAAAGCATGTCAATAACCGCCTTATCATGCGTGAGTAGTTTTGGAGGATGTTGTTGAGGCGAATTGCAGGTAGGCAATGATGCCTCAACCAGGTACGCTGGTATGCTTGCCCCACGCTTTCAACCCCGACACAGTTTACTCCGCCCCAAGCAAAGCTCCAAGGCTTGCAGTTCGATTTCAGGTTTTGTTTGAGTGAAGCGGCGCAGATGAAATGGCTTCAGCCAGTGCAGTCTGGTTTCCAGATTGAGCAATGCACCATGTTGCGCATGTTCCTTCGAGCAGGTGCCAGCAGCAGTACGGAAACTGCATTGAACTCTCCTCCTCAAAGGGTCCTTTGAGAACACCACCTTCATTTTCACGCGGCCCCCTTTCTTGTAGAGGAATGCCCCGTCTCCTTGACTTCCTTCACTTTGATTTTGTGTCCCACCCGCATGTCAGGAAGGCTCTTGGGTGCCGGCTTGCCTTGGGCCCCCAACTCGGCTCCCCATTCCAAGGTGCCCTGCCCGGCCAACGCGGAGGGCTCAAGCGTGGCAGAGGGCTGCACTTGCAGCCCCGGCTTCAGTGGCACGGTGGTCGCCAGTGCTGAGGACCGGGGAGCTTCCAAAAGCTCCGCAAAGTCGTGAGGCCTCTTGCAAAGGCCCCACAGTTTGAGCCCACAGCGCCCCCGACCACTAAAAAATCACTGCTCACATGAGCAGCGCCCAAAGTCCCAAAAGTTGATTCTACTACCTTGTTTAAGCAGGAGCATGGCAAAGCCTACTGTATAAAACTTATAACCTATAACCTGCTTTGTACAACTGCCAGCAAGTCACAGATTTCGGGCGCTGCCTACATGGGGCAAAGATCCAAACGGCAACTCGGTTACTGGCAAATGGCCAAAGCCTTGGTCAAGGTTGGCGGATTCTGGGAACTCAATGACTTCCCTCGTAGTGGACATTGTGAGGTATCCCAGGGCAGCATACCGTCCACCAACTCTTTGCACTTTCTGTATATTGTTTGTAAATGGGGAGAGGGGCTAAATCCTGCACTAGCTGGCTCATAAGATTTGCCATCTCCAACCAGCAAGTAATCTCCCACACACACATGATAACTTAAGGCAGAGGGTTTTCGCCAAGAACCCTCAGACGTTTCACTTCGCGACGCAGGCGCCCTTCTACGCCAGCAGCTGCGAAGCGGTGCCCTGCCCGGCAGATTCCCAAGGGTCCAACGTGGCCGCGGGCTGCAGCTGCAAGGCCCGAGGTTTTGGGCGACGTTTGATGGCAAGCGATGGGTTTTGTTGGCGGATACAGGTTTTGGGCAGGTTTAAAGGGAAACCGAAAGGTGAACCAAAACCCATTTTGGGCTTCCGAATCATGATGCAACCAAAGTGAAGGGTCCTTTCTTTTTTGGATATTGAATTAACCCAGCCTAGTCCAACCAGGAAACCTGAAGTCCGTTTCAAGCGGCTAAATATGATCAAGCTATCAAAGGAGAGGACTCCAAAGACTCTGCATGTAGCGACCTTCAGAGGCAAAGGCTTGATGAACTTGTTTTTTCTTGGTGTTGGTCGAGCGGCCGAGCCCTCAACCTGAGGCGGGCTTTTCCGGCGCCATCGTCGCCAAGACGGATCTGCCCTACTTCGATGGCAGCTGTCAGGCAGTGACCTGCCCCGCTCACTCCAGGGGCGTGGATGTGCCCAGTGGCTGCACCTGCGAGGCGATGGGGCGTCCAAATCGCCCTCGGTGTGCTTTCCAAGATTCAAGTTCTGAAGATCGTCCGCGTATAGCAGTTTAATAGCAACTTTAGGTTGCAAAACTGGAAGGGCCGAGAATACTTCGGGGGCCAAGGGAGAGAGCGCAATGGCGCGCCAAACGCACCATGCGTGTTTTTTTCTCTGGGCCCTGAGGGGTACCAAGGGGAGAGCCCCAAAAGGCTTGGTCCAATGACTCCAAGTCTCAAACTGGCCCCAAGATGTCTTTTCAGGAACTTTGGCACCTGAGTTCGCTTTTAGCTCCTGTATGACCGCCGACAAAATGTGCTCAACATGAATCTTAGCACCCGAAACTCGCTTTTGGCGCCCTGTTGGAAGTCGAGCGGGTGCGCCCACACGGGAAATGCGCATGTGTAGGCATACACGGTACGCATAGTACGCATATGATCAAAGGCAGGCTCTTGGGAGGCAAGCAGCTTCTGAAGTGGCCTGCGCGGCTGGGGAGACCACCAGATTGATTGCGCGCATCCCTGCAGGACGGCTACAAAGGTACAATCTTGGCATCAAGCAAGACTCCTTTCTACAGTGGCAGCTGCGAGGCGGTTTCTGATCTGTACTTAGTGGGTGCAAAGACAGCTATTTGGCCACCCAAAAGGCAGATTGCATTTCGGCAATTCAGCGGGAAGCGTCGTTCTTGTTAGGGTCACGGCAGTTAGGTAAACTGCAGTGCAGAGCATCTCCTCCACGAGAAGTTTGGCTTATTCAGAGCCTGCTTGCGTTTGACAGCAGGTTAGAACATGTCAGACAACAACACATCCATCCCTTAGCCTCCGCAGATATTATGCCGGCACTGGCGTGCTCTGGGTTTGAAAAAGGCAGTTGGCCCTTTGTTGTCCACCAATCCTCGGGGAATTCTGCTCAGTCCGGCCACCATGCTTGATGCACTGAAATCGCCCTGGTATAGGAAAGGGACATGCTGAAAGCCATGACAGGTGCTGATTCCTGAACCTTTACATGCTTCTGGCAAGTTCAGGCTATGGATCGCACACATCACAAGCGAAGACCTACTGCCTTTTCTTTCAATCCTTTTGCATCATGTTGAGATTTCTTATTGAGCATTGCGCTTTATTCATGCTGCATTTTCTCAGAGAATTTTTCTTCATAAGATTCCTTGCATTGCGGAGCCCTGGCCTAGGAAGGTGTTCGGCATTCCCATGAAGCCCTCTTGGATGGCCACTTGGGAGCTGTGAAACGAGTCACCCCGTCACCTGAGGTCGCCTGCCCTCTGAACACCAAAGGCGCCAGCGTGGCGGAGGGCTGCTCCTGCGCTACGGGCTACTCGGGCTCGGTGTCTGCCACCTCCACGAGCCTCGGCGCGGAGGGATGACAGCAGCTCACAGAAGGGTTCTGAGTTCTGAGAATAGGAAAGGCTTTGTGAGCAAGCTTTGGGACATGGAGCATATTTGCACTTAAAAGCGGACCTATAAACTGGAACTCCTGAATGGTTTCAAAAGACTGGTTAGAATTGATTCTGAGAGCATTAATTTGCTGTATTTCATGGCGCAGGGAGGGAGTCAGTCAATTATGCTGCCCGACATTCTGCCATGTCGAAAAGCCCAAATCATGAAATATGTGAGGTCAAGCTTTACGGCAGAAGGAGAAAGACAAAAAGAACAGAAGGAGAGACAGAGAGAGAGCGAGAGAGCGAGAAAACAAAAACAAAAACAAAGAGAGATAGAGAGAGAGAGAGAGCAAAACGTAAAGTGGAGCTTGGGTCGGCATGCCCTCGAAAAGTCATCGCATGCGTTGACTGCTTTTCGACACTCTTTGGCCCAAGGCTGTTGCGCAGTTTACATTTGGGATGGTCGCATATATCCTGCATCGAAGACGCGCGTGTCCCAGCGAGGGGAGCTGGCTATGAGGGTTAATACGGAACGACCTGAAAACTGGTTCGTGGACAGGAATCCCCACCTAAAGGATGACCACCAACAATTCGCTAAAATGAATGCCCTGAGCCGCTACAAGGACTCCCTTCTACGACAACGACTGCGCCCCAGTGCAATGCCCGGCAAACTCCAAGGGCAGCAGCGTGGCTGCCGGCTGCAGCTGCAATGCAGGCTTCTCAGGCCGGCAGGGGGCCGTATTGCCGTATCTGCAAACATCAGCGTGTCGGTTTTTCAATTGAAGGCACAAGGAAACCCATGGCGGTTGACCTAGTTGAAGGCATAGTCTTGCTTAAGGGTAGGCAAACTATGGAACAGAGTTAGAGCATGTCATTTTGAGTGTACCCCAGATGTTGGCCTAGGTATGCAGTTCAGCTGCTTGTCGTTCTCCGGCTCGTCCCGGTTTCTCCTGGCCTGCCTCTTTGTCCGCGCTTTCTGTTCCAACTGGTTTCCCTTTGTCGAAGATGATCAATCACAAAGGAGGGAAGCCCCTTTTCAATGGACAACCACAGACAAGGATTATTGGTTTTTTGCTGCTTGGGATTTCTGGCTGGCTTGCATTCTCTCAGCTAGTAGCTCTTTTGACGCAGACGGATGCAGACGGGTTGGCATGCCGCAAGAGCATCGGCAAGAGCCTTTACAGCTCAACCACCGCCCACAAGCCTTTTTCAGACATACCCTTTCAAGGTTGCAAGATTGGGGGGCTACGGGTTTCCTGGAGCTTGTGCATGTAACGTGCAACAGACCAGGCAACTGAAGCGCTCTCCCTTGGAGTGCAGGGTTGAGGAGTCAACTTTTCTCGGCAAATTCTGTCATTTGTGGAACTGGGAGAACCCTGGTCCTTCATTCATTTGCGCAGGCTGAAACAGCCTTGGCTATGTTGATGCAAATGCAGTAGAGGGTCTGTGCCTTGCTCCTTGATTCCAAGATGTCAGCAGTTCCCCGGCAACATCCGGCAACGCTTGTTCATGAAGATGACCGACATGTTTACCTGTCATGCAGTATCGTCTCTTAGTACGGATCCATGCTTAATCTTCTCTCGCCTGAAATATGGGAATTAGCCGTTGGCTTAAAGCAAATGGGCTTATGAATTGTCTTTCTCCTTGGGTTTCGCTTCAGTTGAAACCATCCAAAAGGGATCGCCCTGAAAAAACAGGACATGACGACTCGCCACTCGCCCTGGTGCACAGGTAGCATCACGGCCACTGGCAGCGCTCCCTTCTTCTCTGGGAAGTGCGAGGACGTGGCGTGCCCGGCGGACTCCACGGGAGACTCCGTGGCCGCAGGCTGCCGCTGCAATGCCGGCTTCAGCGGCGTGATCAAGGCGAGGGCGTGGGCGGTTCAGGAGCCGCTGGCCGGGTTGGGAGCACTCGAACTCCTAGAAAGGTCCTGCCAGAATTGTTCCGATCCTCTGGCAATGCGTATGCCCCATGCTGGTGAAAGTTGCCAAGTGGCGAGCGAAGCTTCTCAGTGAAAGATCCAAGGCGAGCTCCACGAAGCCGTTCTACACCGGCAGCTGCTTGGCAGAGGCAGGTGGGTGCCGCCGTCGTGCCGATCGACAGTGACGTGAAGGCCTTGCCAGTATTCCCGCAACCTTTAAGCTGGCAGGAGTGATCTGGCAAGTAAGTATGTGCCCCCGACATGATTATTTTGCTCATAGTTTCCCTTGCAAACCACAAAGGGGGAAACCGAGTACCAACTCCAAAGACGAGGCATTGGTCCGGCCAGGCCTGCCCAGACAACTCTGAAGGCCTGGACTTGGGCAGTGGCTGCAAGTGCAAGGCCGGGTACAGCGGTACCATCACCGCCACCCAGGCACACTCGGTCTCGTCGTCTCGTCGCGGGACGGGTTTGGGACTTTGGGTTTTGGAAGGGTTTGAAGGATGTGGATCTGCGGTTCCAAGGGGATGAACGATGAACCAACTTGAAGGAATCGAGTCATATGGGGCAGGATCAGCTCGCCGCTCGCACTCCCAGTCGAAAGAGCACCAGGTGTAAATGAGCTTAGCAGTTTTAAGCATGTGGTTGAAATGTTCCACACGCCGTTCTTGTTGTGGGAAGGCTCAGAGCATAAGCAGGTCCTTCACAATCATGAAGGTTGAGCATGACAGGCACTCCTTGCATGCTCAGAATCATTGGGATGCAGTTTCCTGTCCCCCGCTGCACAGATTTCGCACCTGCGCTGATGTCAGGAGGATATGCCAAAAAGCCCCCTTTTTTGGCTTTCTTCCATGCTGCTTTGATCAAAGCATTCATGTACCAGTTGTCGAATCTCAAAACGCTTGCTCCAGAGATGCTGCCACCTGAATATGATGATAAATTGCGTTGATTTGGTGAGACTGTCCTGTTTCTGTTTGACATCCACCTGAAAAAACCAGCCCTCTGATGTGTCTGCCACTGAAATTGGTTTCAAATATCTCTTCCCGCTCTTCCTTTCGGTTCGCAAGGTTGTCCACGCTTCCATCCCAAAGGCCCGTAGGATCCCGTAGGTCTGCTTGCGTCTGGCAGGTGACACCCTACTACTGCGGCACTTGCGAGGCAGTGCCCTGCCCCCAGTACTCCACGGGCCCGGATGTGGCCACAGGCTGCGACTGCCAGGCAGCTGTCAGAGCTTCGCGGGGAGGGGGACGGGACAATGGGGGATGGGGAAACCAGAGCCATCTGACAGGAGGTGTGGCGCTGTCCTCCCAGGGCTTCGATCTTTGATACAACTCACACCCCCAAAAGACTTTGCACCGCTTGACTTGGACGTTGTTCAGGTGTTCCTCTAATGGGGGGCCTTCCGTTTTTTCTACCCTGGTATCAGGTAGTACCCAACTTGCCGTTTTTCAAGGAGATACCAAGGGCCCCCGAGTTTGACCACGTGACGTTCCTCCATGGAGCCGCTGGAAAGCGTTCAACAGGACGGCGTGGGCACCGTGACGCCTTCAAGCGAAGCGCCTTTCTATGCCTGGGGCCTAAGGTGACACGCGTCGGTGCGAGGGCTGCCGCCAAGAACACAGTCTATTTGCCTAAAAAGGCTGTGTTGACCCCCCAATAAGTTTTAAAGGCAATCATTCACTACTGGACATGCGATCATTTTTCCACGGGACTTATGCAAATGGTGAAGCCTGCCCGGCTTGCAATTCAATACTTCTCTGCAACCGATTGAACTGGCATGGCAGGGGCTAATTGTGGATGCTTGTCCAGACCATGCCGATCCAACCAACTGACAGCAAGCATACTTTTGTGTGTGTGTGTGGCTTGCGTGCTTGTTGGAAGGCCATGTCGCCAGCTGATGATTAAGTGCTAGTTTTCCACTCGACATTTGATCTTGCCGGGTGCCAGCCGGGCCACAACGTTGGCCAAGACTCCAAGACAGGTTTGGAAACCACTTTGTCAGCAGATGGCTGGACCCACCGCATCCGAAGCCAACCTCTCAATGAGCTGCCTCTTGTTTCTATGTATTAAGCGCGTTCATGTTTGTGTCCCTCCATGCCTTGCAACTCGGCCTGCATTGAGAGGCTGGAGGGCAAGAGCCTTCACTACCACCCAGACAGGTTGCAGAGGCCTTCAGAGGCCTTTCCAGCTGTTGTTTCTCAAGATGGGGCACGGGGCCATAGGTGGGGGACGCTTCCCTTCGCACGGCTTCCCGACTCGTCCCAAGGTCAGCACCTGCGGAGCCACAGCCTGAAGGGCGCGGCCTCAAGGGTTGGTGTCACATTCGAGAGAGTCCCGAGCCGCGGGCTTGGGGCTGCAAACGTGTACGTTAGTCAAGCCTTGGGGCTTGAGCAGGTCGACCCGCGAGCTGCAAAACATGCGCAGACAGTGCAAGGGAGCGAGGATGAGGAATGCCCTCCCAAAGATGGTCCCCAATCACCCTCCAGTCCAGCAACAGGAAGCCCTCCACAGGGTGCCATTTGCGAAAATTGGTCTGCCAGACCCTGCCTTGCGAGGTTCCATGCTTGTGGACGGCAGGGTAGTAAAAAATCACACCCACACACACACACATCCTCTATCAAAGTTAGTTTGGGATCTTGCAACTTTGGGCTTAGCACTCGCTGCCGCAGGGTTCAGGGCATGGCACGCAATTAGGTCTTTGCTCAAGTGCATGAGGGTCGTGGCCGAAGCTTGTCGTGCTGAGTTTCAAAAGAATTTGTCTCAAGGGGGAGCCAAATTCCCTTTTCCCCAAAGCCATCGAACATGTATTCTCAAGACTCAGAACACGCACCCCAAACAAGTGCCAAGAAACACAGAATCACCAGCGCTCTTCCCGGCGCAGGCCTGCCTGACGATGGGTGACAAAAATGGAGCGTGGGATCAGTCGATACACATTGGCCCGCGTCAGCGCGGGAGCCAACGGGAGCATTGCAATCTTATAATAGGATCGCACGTATTATGAACAACCCCACCCTTGAATTCAACTGCCTGTGCCCTGGCTCCGCACTGTGTCACCTCGGCCGCATTCAGGACCGCACTGTGCCACAATTTACATTGACTGGCACGATGCAAAGTTTTGGGAGGTTAAAGTGCCGCGACCACATGACACATGCGCTGATCTGACTGACCCGCTGCCACGTGGCTAACGGCGCACAGCATCAATGCTTTCGGGACCGTGGGGCATGATTGTAGCATGTTGAGCTGGTATTTCTGCAGGAACCTGCGGCAAACTCCACGCATAATAACATCGAGCCAGGGATGCTTGTTCATGCCGGAATCCAGATGATGCAATTGCTTCTAGAAAGCAAATTGAGCTGCGGATGTGAATGTCGCCTGGACATGCTACGCTACGGGCAGCATCAGATAGCTTTCTGATAGTGACTAGCTGTACTTCATGGCCCTCGATCCATGAAGGCGCTTGTTGTATATGTATTGGGGCACGGCATCAAGAGAAGACTTGTTTGTTCCTTTCGGGGAGGGCACACCCACATCCGCTTTGCAGTGTGTGCAATGTGTTGCTTGTGCTGTGCGAAGCGGCCAAGCGGGTGCAACTCAAGATGTTCCTATGAAAAGACGCTTGACAGCTTCCGCTTCAAAGCAAAGCTTCGATTAGCACGGCGGCTTGACGTTGTGCCACCTTGCCCCGCCCTTTGGCAAGTGTTTGTGCGCCCCCCAGAGTGCCTGGCAGAAAAGACAACAGCTTTCTGAGTTGATCATGTGGCATGTGGAGGCTGCGGAGTGCTGATTTGTACCGCTGATCTTGAAGTGAGTGAGTACGATCAGTCTTTGCAACCATTCGCATGCTTCATTGCCGAGAAAATGCACAAGCAGAATCATGGAAAACCCGAGGGGGCTCGCAAACAGCAGTACTGTCCCTTTTGAGTACTGAGTAGTTGCAACCTTCGAGTCAGAGCTACCGACGTGCACATCACGTGCTGCATTTGTACTGAACAGTGCAACTTCGCTTGTGCACGTTTTCCTTGCTGAGGTTATGGGGGTGGATGGCGTGCGGCGCCAAAGCCTTAGACTATGACAGTCACAAGGGGGAGAGAGAAGCAGTGGATTCTGGGCAATTTTGCTTTGAAATTAATGTGCTGTGCTTTCGGTGGAAGGGACTGGCTTGACGAGTCGAGGGTGTCCTGTGAACACCGGTGAACACTTGCACGCCATTTGGTTTGAGCATCAGGCCGGGGGTATGTCCCGCCCAAGATGTCGGACATTGTCCGCAGGAAGCCGAGTGGGCCGCGCCTGTGCAATCAAGCTTGATCTGAGTATCATCAAGGCCTTTTGCGTACTAGTTTAAATGTGAGTTCATGTCATCAATAAAGCTTTGCGGTAAAGCTTTAGAGGTTCGCGATCAACGCTGTAAGTGTGTGTTTGTGTGGGCGCCAATGCTTTTAATGGCCACCAAGGTGGAGATTGGCAGGAGTACCGCGGCAGCAGGAGCGATAGACGTAGCGGCATCCACCAGCATGAGTGGATTGCAACGTCTTAGCTGCTGCAAACAGCGCAACGCTTTCACAAGAAGTTGGTTGCTATGAGGTCTGATCACGAGCGGGCCATGCTCCAGCCTCTTTGACGGACCTTGATTTACATGTTTTCTCCAAAGCTGGCAAGAGGATTATCCGCATTGACGAGGTGGATGGACGTCTGGGGCCTGGACTAAACCGCATACCTTAAACAAATTCGCAGGCCGTCGGACAATGGCACATTTTTCTTCTTTCTGCTCGATGTGTAAGATAGCTTTGAAGGCTGCTCCCGCTTGCAGCCTCTCCGAGGGTCACTTGAATGTGTATGGAATGGCTGTGCGCGGACCATCTGCAGTTTGGTTTTTGGCCTGCCCTTACACTTTGTTGGTTGGGCAATTTGCCGGAGCTTGTGCCGAATCCCATCGGTGGGTATCAGGTGGCTATGTTTGCTTGGAAGGAGTTTGGTTTGGTGATTTGGATGTCCACGTGAAAAAAATACAAATAGATAATGCCTTCGGGAGGGCGAGGCAAGAAATGTTTATATTGTTTATTGCCAATGACAGGTTTGGGTTGAAAAGTCAGCCTTTTGTTTCGGGCCTTACTTCATACAACATTTTGGCGTGTCAGGCTTGGCGCTTGAGCACCAACCTCCGGAGGGTCCTCCGCTGGTGGCAGCCCGAGTTTAGCTGGCCAGGTGTGACACTATGAAGCCTGAATGTATGATGAGCCGAAACCATCGCGTGCGTAAGGCCATGCTAAGTGCCTGCAGCGCTTGGTCTGGGATAAGTTGACGGATCACCCTGGCATCCCTTTCTGTTTGCCACTGCTAAGCTGCTAAATGCGCGGGCCGCCAATGTGAACCAGCCTCGGGGGGAACAAAAGTGGTTGGTGGACATGAATCCCCACCTAAATGATATCCACTAAACAGCCCCAATTAAGATTCCCCTTCAGATCCTGGAGCGGAACAACTCCACTGCGGCGGTGCTGATTTCATGGGCTGCCTTCGTCCGGAGCCCTGGTTGTGCATAGGGGAATGAAGGGATAGACGGGAGCCGAACCAATGAGCCATTCCCCTGCAAACTAATATGGAACCCGGAAAAGGAGTCCCCAACAGGAGATTCCTCTCAAAAGTTGTGGCCATCCCAAGATACTTTAATCCAACCCGAAAGCCAGAGACTAGCGCCACACCACCCTTACCCGCCAACCACCCTCAATGAACACCGGCGTTGCTTTTGAAGGCGAAAACAAAGGCACGTGAGTTGAACACTCTCCTGCGCACCCTTGGATGCTTCACGCGGGCCCTCAAGATGTCAATTCATCAGCAGCAATTCTCAGACAGCAAGGTGCAGTCATCGAAGAACCACTGCCACCAAACTCACCAAACACAACACCCCCGAGAACACTCCCCCAGGTTTGGTCTATGTTGGTTTTCTCCAAGGGGGTGTGCTTGGGGAGCTGGGCGGGCTCCCCAAGGGTGGGAGGTCGCGAGAGTCGCTTGCTTTTTGGCAGCGAAGGAGTCGGATGAGGTGGTCTTCAATTTGGAGCTTCAAGGCGCAGCCCTGCCAACCGATTTGTTCCAGAACGCACAGGCGTGTCTCTTTCTGGGGACCCCCCAAACTGGTAGGTGTCCTTTGTTTCCTTTGAGCCACTTTCCGAAGGGATTCTGTGAACCGTGCATGCATTTGTTTAGCCCACAACTCTCTAGTCCCGCGGTCAAGCCACACTGAGCAGGCAACCGCGTGTGTCTGTGTGACGCGTGAAAGGATCACCAACCTTCGGATTCTGCATGGCAAACGGTTTTTTCTTTTTGCTGAGGCTCTTCCAAAGTGAACATGGTGCTGAACCAACAAATGCACCTATGCGATCCTTTGAGCCTGTAAAATGTCCTAAACCTGCTTGTGCTGGGCATTGACCAGCATGTGGCACAAACAGCCCAGCCCACGAAAACACCCTGAGAACACAAAAATGGTATGTCACGCTCCTCGCTTGAGTGTCCATGGATTGCAGCAAAACCTTTCGCCGAAAGGACCGCATCTTTTCGCCGAAAGAACCGCATCGTCCAATCTCGCATGCCGTTTTCAAATGAAGCCACTCAATCCCAAGTTGCAATGCTCGTTGGTCTATAATTATGTCCAACTGCGCACAGGCTCAAAGGATCTCGGCATGAGTTACAGGTGAAAAGAGCGAGTGATGTTCTTGAATCTTGGCATTTTGTAATATCTCAATGTAGGCGACGACCGCCTGAAAATGAAGTTCCCGGGGGGCCGCTTGGGCCTTAGTTTGCGAGCTCCGCCGTGTGGTGGGAGCTTGCCGGAGGGGAGGCTAGCGAATCCGCAGGATCTGTGTTTGCAGTTTGCCGCTTCTGGGAGAAAGCTTGCATGCAGCGTGAACTGACGCGACATCGTGCACCTGGCAAGAGCCAGACCCAGAACTTACTTTGTATCAGTTTTGACAAGGATGCCCTGAGCACAAAGGGCTGCACAATTGCTTAGTGTAATTTAATCCTTGAAAACAGCTGGACAAATACGTGCGAAGCAAGACTTCTTGAGCACATGCTTAAACATGAAAAACAGCCAACACTTCCGTACCATTTGCAAGGGCGGAATGAATAAACGCACCTAGCAGTTTCATATTGTCCATTCGGGAATCGGAAGTTGGAAGCGATTCGTGTCGCCTGTTTTTGTTTTAGTCTGGGAAATGCTGGCACAGGGTAAGGATTTCCCTTTGAGCAACTATGCTCCAAATGATTTTTTGCGCAGCATTTCGTAGACATGTAGACATGTATGGGCCGCAGCAAGCGCTATATCCAACAATCTCACGGAAGCACAAGTAGACTTGGGGCGTATTTGTTGCAGTGTTGGCGTAGCATTTTGACTGGGGGCATCGAAGGATGTCCGCGTTGGTCAGGGGCTCCACAGCTCAACATGGGCTTGCATGTCGCTCGGCCGTGTGTTCATTGAGCAGTCTTGAGAGATGAGGCGATGCCGTCACCTTTCTCCGTGTCAAGGCTCGCAAGGCGGGATTGGCAGCTGAGGGGTTCAAGGGTCTCAAAGCCGACTGGCTTCGGAACAATTGTTTGGCCGGGATTGCAGGGAAGCCATTGGCGTTTACCCCCCAGAAAGGCAAAAAGGCCATGATGGTGACAGTAGTGAGTCAGATGTGAGTCACAATGATTGGTCACGTGTAGTGCAGATTGTATTGCTTCAGCTGAAGGGCTGAGCAGTGGCCTGACCAAGAAGCGGAAGGTTTTGGGCCCGCACCTGCCTGGTGATCAATGAGCCAGCCTCGAGTGCAATCACAGCTTGTCAGTATGGGGGTGCCAAATTGAACCCGCAGAAGTACATGTGAATTTGGCAGTACTACATTTGAGATTTGGGCAGTCTGGAATGGGAATTGAGTGCCAAACTTGAATTTGGCAATATTAAATGTGAATTGGGCAGTGCTAAGTGTGCATTTGTCTATTCATAATTTGAATTGGGCAGTACTATTATATTTGAAGGGCAGTCAGTACTGAATTTCAATTGGCCAGTGCTGAATTTGAACTGTACAGAGTCACATTTTGAATTGGGTCGTGCTACATCTAAATTGGGCAATGCTATTCGAATTTCAACCATGCTTGGCTGATGTGATTCGATGCAACTCCATCCAGTTTCCGGGATTGGGCCGATGAGATTCCATGACATCAGTGGGAGTAAGCCAAGCATGGTCACGTAGAGACATAGCTTGGCCCTGGCGGCCGGCATCGCGAGTCAGAATTGCAACGGAGTGACGCAATGCTGCGTGCTCACCGCTTCTCAGCTTGTATGGTTATTGGGATTTAAAGGTGCTTGAGAGACATCAATCACTATTTGAATATTGATAGCTTCGGGCGTCCCCGGATTTTTGAGAGCCGCATGCTTTTCCGTGATGCGCAAACTTGCGGGGAGGCGAGTCGCTCCTGTTCCCTTGTGGCGGCCCCAGAACCGGGCGGTCGCGCAAGGGGGTGGGGGGGGGGGTGGGGGGGCTGATCATCATTCCAGAGAAGGGTAGCGGTGTTCCATGTGCTTTGAACAGCCGCTTTGTGCCAAGCTGTTCCGTCCTTAGCATGCAGCTTTCTTCAGCTTTTGGAGCTTGGCCCATTACGGGGGCAAATATACCACAGTTTTTCCGTGCAGTTTGCCGGTGGTGATAGGTGTTGCAAAGTGACAACAGCAGCCACTGCTGCATCCAGCCTTGTTAGCGAGCGATGTGCTTAGTATTGTATTTGATGTATTATTTGAGGCGTGCAGTTTGCAACATTCTGAACAAACAAAGCGCTCGGCGTTTGAAAGAGACGCCAACCTGTAAACCGCCGTGCGCAAAGACCGACCATTCAATCAAAGCACGTGAGCCGCGATGAGTTTCCCGCAATTAAGGCTTGTAAGCAAACAAACACCCCGCGCTTGGCGAGGGCGCAAACTCAGGCAAAACTGTAGGGACCCCCAAAGCCACGCACGTTTGTTGCCGGGGGCTGCAGAAAGCGCAAGAATTACGTATCCCAGTGATGACATGGGCCCAATCACAGCTCAGGCCCGGAGCCGAGTTAGGCTGGAAATGGGGGGTCTTTTGGACGATTGTTTGCCGATAGCTTGGTCATAAGTGGAAGAAAGTTTGCTGGCCTGCGTCAGGAAATGTTCTTGGTATTCCTTACTTTGCAATCATGCGATGTTTATTTGAGTCCATTCGAGCTTGCGCCCTCTTCCACTCTTGGCTTTGCCATTTCTTATTTTGTGCCACATAAGAGTCATGATGCAAGCGTTTGCTCACCCCCCCCCCCCATGTTGCAGGAACACTCTGGCTCATGCTTGCTCTGACGCTTTTGATGCGGTGCGCGTGGCAGCCATCAGTTGGAATTGGTCACGGCCTTTCCCCTGCAGAATGAGAAGTCGGACGCCGGCAAGCCGTGCTCGATCACGGCGAGGCAGGATGGCAATAAATGGACCTGGCGCACTCAAGGGGTTTGAAATTTGGGGCCTTCTCAGTACAGTTTGTTTTTGCATGCCCAACACAAGATGATGCCTATCCCTGAACATGAGGGATTCATTTTGCTCTCTCCGTCCCTTTTTCACCCTTTCTCTTGAGTCCCTCTCTGGGATTACAATTGGAATCGGACATGAAAGGGCATTGTCACATTATATTGAATTTCCGGCACTGGATGACTGCTTGGGCCACGAAAAGATGCCTCGCACGGCCTGCACAATGTTATTTGTTTTATTGTTTGCTCGGGGAAGGCTTCGGTCAGGCATGGGTACATTTGCATTGGATCAGATTCATGTTTCAGAAAGTGGGCTCGGATGCGTACATTATATTGTCCATTTTTGGGAAACCAGCGTGTTGGTTTGGCAATGTTTGCGCATACCACGACGCTGATTAGTAGGTAACTATTTTCATCACAACAAGGAGTCATACGGCGAGACCACATTACTTGATGCGTCTTGATACCAGAGGCGGAATTGCGCGTTAAAACCTGTACCGGATCGGCGGAGCACCTGCTTGGGAGAGTGCAGATTCAGATTTAGTTTGCCAGTTTTCTCGAGTCGAGCGATTTGGTCGCAACCCAGGCAGTGCAGACGAGCATCAGACCCTGGTGCGGCATGCCCGGATGCCCTGTTCCAGAATTCAGGCGTCATTGTGTCCATGTTTGGCTGGATCCTTCCTTGTTCTGGATACACTGTGTGCAGGACTTGTTGGCCTGCTCATCCGGCACAGGATGTTCGCATGAAAGCTTAATGGAGCTCAGCACAAACCCGTCACAGGTAATAGGTAGTCATATTGTTTGATGTCCTTGAGCCTCCTTGCTAGCTCGAAACACTCACATGCCATATTTGCAAACCTCCTCAAACACATGCTAGACATCGTTTGGATACAGAATGAGATATCTTGGCTGCGCAATGGCTACGATGCCATGTGGGGGAGGTGTGGGCTTCCCCGCACGGCACCAAGGTGAAGAGCCTGCAGAGCAGGTCCAAAGGGGTCAATGAGCACTGGCAGCACTACTGCGCCAGGGCCCCACAGTTCGGAGCCGGATTGGTGACTGCAAGTTTGCTGGGAAAATGATTATTTTGAATGCTTGTCCCTTGCACTGTGTGGTTTGCACATTGGGGCTTCAGTGCTGTCTTCCGTCAATTTCTTACAGTGCTGCAAAGGCTAGGCAGTAGGGTAATTGTTTTCATAGGCCCGTGGTTTGGTCAGCGCTGCATGTTGATACATGACGGCCTCGCATTCCTTGTCGACATTCAGATTCAGTGCGCATCGAAGATTGGAAGCACGCCCTTGATGCCAAGGCACTTCATAATGGGTGTATACCCGACTCTTAAGCCTTTTGCGGTCAAAATGCCCAAGAGACAGAGACGTATGCAAGCAATCCCAGAACGCAGCGGAAACGATCCAGAGCCACAGTGCGTCAAGTGTGTTGTCCCGTGATTCGCCTGTGCACGCAATGCATTTTGGAGCTGCCCGCATCCGTGAACCATGTGATTTGTAGCAGAAAGGTGCGTGTCTTGTCCTAGGATGCGAGGCCTAGAATAGCCCCTTCTTCCTAGTGATGCGGATATGAGCGGTCCTCGAAATTATAACTTTGCTTTCTCCAGACCGGAAACCTAGACCCTGGCCAACCACTTGCAATTGATTTCCTTTGTTTGGACCTACAATGGCTCCGAGTGACAAGTTCCAAACACACGATGGAACCAGCTGGTTCCTTACTGGAGCAATTGTGTCTAGAGCTGCTTTTGGGACCCAGACTGCGGGAAGCATTGCCGACTAGAAAGCACGCTACTCCAACCCAAGCCCCTCCTGAAGCCTTGATCTTTCTCTTTGACTCCCGCCTTTTCACTTCCTCTCACTCGCCCACACTGGTATGTTCAATGCTCCCGTCTCCCATGAAAATAGTGTTTGTTCCCAACCAAGAAAAGTAGGCTCTCCAAGCGTCAAACAGTTTTACTGGAAAATGCAAAGGAGAAGTGCCTTTTGAAAGCAGGAGTTGTATTAGCCTTAGGTTCAGGGCATCCTTAAAAGATGGTTCCTTATGTTTCATTGTTTTGGGGGCCCTTGTTTATGTTAGGGGGAGGGGGGGAGAAGTTATGTTCTTTGCCTTGGGGGCTGCGCCTGAAAGACAATGCAGCGTCCAGAGCGGGTCTTCAGAACCTGAAAAGCCCTTGTCAGCCAAGACAGAATGTTGCTGGTTACCTAGTTGTAGCCCACTTTGAAGTTAACAACAGATTCTGCGGGGTGTGATAAGAAGCCGCACGAGTGAGTCCGTTTGATCTCAGTAAATCTTGAAATTTCAGCCCAGGAGCAGCACGGCGCGGAGTCTCTGGGCATTCCGGGGACGGAAAAGAGGGGATTTGTTTGCAACGATCGCGTCGCTTGTGGGGTTGACTTCTCGGACTTTACTTGTTTGCCACGGAATTGGTTGGCCTTATGAAGTGTGACATCTTTGGCTATGCTTGTAGCTTCTGCTTATTGCATGGCCGCATGCACAAGGCATGTGATTGACAGGATTTGAGCGGCGCTTGGCAGTTGATTCGCACAATACGTGCGTTGCCTTGCTTGGAGATCAACAGATATCGATGTCCAATCTGGAAAGCCTACTCGCACAAGCCAAGTTGTTTCGAATTCACGTGTTTTGTTTATATATCTTCATGTCGCCCCCGCTTGGCTATGGGCTATACCTGGGCCCTCCTAAGTATGCCTTTTTTGTGCTGTTTGGGCCAAAGGCTCCTTTTGGTGCAAACGACACATTTTTTGCCTCAGTGCATATTTGCGTATTTTGGTGTTTTGCGAAAACAGGATGAAAACGAAAAGGCGACATTGCCCGACCCAAAGGCGACATTCCCCGACCAAAAAGCGACATTTGCCGACCACGTTTTGGCAAGATTTAGAAGCAGCACTTTTAAAAGGAAAAGGCTCTTTTTGGAGCAAACGACACAATATGTAGCTTTTTCAGCAAACGGCAGAAAACATGCACACCTGGAGGGTCTAGGTATATATATATAATTATATGCTTGGAAGCTTGTAGAGAAAGTCGGAGAGACGAGTATTGTTGCGCTTCTAGTCCCCCCCACGAAGTCTGACCTAAATCACGGTCAATAGGTACTTCAAATTTGAAATCTGCATCATCGTGTGTTCATTAGACCGATGAAATGGCTGGTCCATGAGTTGCCTGGATTCCGTGCGACAGAAACAATCGGTCAACACGCAGGCCATGTGTGCCGGAATGTTTGGATGCAAAGGGTCTGATTGTGGCTGACATCAATACTGCCATAGGCTTTCAAGCAGTGCCTTTCTTGGTCAGACCATCGTGGCTTGAGTGTGAGCCCCGGTCAATTCCATATGCTGCAACCAAGGCATACCAAGATCTTTACATCACCAATGTGCTGATGGGGACCGTCACTGGAGTCTTTGTGTTTGCCCATCAGCTCTTCAACTCAGCTGGGGGCTGTAGTTGGCCCAAACGCACAGCTGGCATTGCATGGGATGTGGATTTCGCGCACAGGTCGCGGCATCATGGACCCGAACCGGCACGATGTCGCGACGCTGCAGGCGGCTATGTGTCATTCAGTTGCTATTGGAACTCCTTGACTGCATTGGCCAACAGCCGTAGCTTGTCCGGTCAATGCTAGTTGCGGATTGGCTTGCCACACAACAGCGGAGAACCATGGTAGGAAGCCTGAATGCAAGCCTATGTTTCATTGTCCGATCCCAGGGCCGGCATAGGTTGCCAAGCACCTGTGATTTACCCCTTGCAGTGTCAGATGTTGCCGTTTCGCTTCCCTCTTCATGGCGGCACCATGACTTCGGTGTTCTATGTTTGTGTTTGAGTTTTGTGCGTTGTGTTTTTTTTTGCTATGTGAATTGGGGGCTGCAAAGATCATCGCCATGTACGTTGGATTCTGTTGAGGAGCGCCTCCGGACTGTGCAGTTGCACCCCGCCCTTCAGGCACAACAAACAACCATTCCAAATGCAGCAGAAACTACGGGAGCCATGTCAATCTCCATGTTTGCGATTCTGTGGGAGTGGCGTAGACGCAGGATAGCATTGGCGCTGACGTGCATTTGGGCTCAAGAGACTATGAGACACAGGTCACTGGCAGAGCTTGGATCTGCAAATCTGCCAGGTTGAGCGTGATGACCTTTTGTCCACCTGCAACTAATTTTGCTTTGATTCCTGTGCGTTCATATTTTGTAGGTTCGTGCTTGCTTTGTAAAGCTGTTGCCACTTCACAATTGTGGTCAGACCTTTTATGCCCAGCTGCTCAGCATGAGGGCATGCACGCCTGCTGATGGGAGCCATTGGGAATGGCGACTTAGATTCTTGTTTGCCAGCCAACAGCTGTCTCCACAAACCGCAGTCCGCATGCAAATCAGTTCCACAGAAGGCCAGGATGACTCGATGACGCCACTTGTTCAATCTCGGCTTTGCTGCGCTTGAACGCCATGGACGATGCCTTTGCCGACTTGTCCAAGGCCTTGGCAAGGCTCGGGCAGGCGCGCATGGGTTACCGTGGGGCCCTTGGAGAATTTGGGCCTCGCGTAGATACTTGACGATGTCCACTTGGCCATGCTGGCTCTGCGGAAGTACTGGAATCATCGCCTCTTGCCAATTGAAAGCAAAATCATTGACCATTGTGGCACGTTACGGGTTGTGTTGCAGCCTTCTCTAGAGGGTAATGGTTCTTTGACAGACTGTTGTTTGCCATGTCAATGTGTTTCAGTTTGTTTCAATGTGTCTGGAAGAGTTCGGGATATCTTGGATCCGTAGCGGCAGGCTCTATGATGTTCGCAACTTTCAGCTTGCAGACGCAGATGTTTCGTTATTTGCTTCAAAGGGCTTAGCCTGGCAACACCCACTGAGCTAGGGCCAGGGCTTTGTTGCATTTTGGCCTGCGAGATGTACGGTTGTCAGTTTTGCGGCTTGCCACCTTAACAGGCACCTCTATGCGCCTGCCAAAAAATAGTTCAACGATTGACACAAGCACGCCTGCCATTCTTCGGGTTAGGGTCAATGCTGCCATAGCTTCCATTTCACCAGCTTGCACTGCAGCTGGTTCCTGCTGTGGAAGACAAACATGGAGAGGGATCGGCGGGAGCAGCGTGCAGGCGGACGACCCAGAGGACCTGACGAGCAAAGATTTCATCCAGGGCGTTTCCTCAACCATCACTACAGCGCTGCATCAATACCTCAGCTCCAGGATCAAGGCGCTATGCAAGCCCAATCATGAGCACATTTGGCAACGAGATTTCCTGGCCTTAAGACTGGGACAGTCCCGGCTAAATTTTTGATAGGATACATTGGTGAAAAAGAAATGAGATGTCACGCAGAGATTCCTCGGCGCCTAGGCGCAGACGGAAAAGATCCGCGCTGCCCACGAGGAAGCTTTGGAGAAGGACCGCATCATTATTCAATCCAAGCCATTCGGTCAAATTTGCGCGTGGTATGTGGCTGCCCCGCATCCTTGCAGACAAGTCGTGTAGCTTAGGCTTTGGCTTGCAAGCTACGCCTGCCTGCATGTACCAGTGCCAAGCACTACGAACGTTTCACACTGGATTCTATCAAATGACTTGTTAAGCCTGGAACAAATCTAGCGTTTGACCAGCTCCAATTTGGGCTGAGTCATCCAGCACTTTTGGGCTGGAGCACAAGCCAAGTGTGACCCAACATGTTGCAACATGTGCACACCCTCCGACAGGGGTAGCTGGTAGCTCTCCAGGAGAGGACCTCATTTCAGCTGGAGCTGCGGCGTTTGGAGCAGCGCCTGGACGGGAACCGCTTAGACCTGGAGACCAAGGCAGGGCCCGTGTGAGTAGTATGCCCTTGGTACAATCTAGAGACGCATTATAACGAGCTATGCGAGCAAGACCAAGAACGAATGAAGAAGGTCCCTTGCGTGGAGTTCCTTCTTCCCTGCTTGCAAGATGTAGCGTGATGTAGGGTAAAATAATGTGAGGTGACGTTATCTACAGCAATGTATGTAGGTTGGTGAATCGTGTACATGTTTCTCAGAATAGCTGTCAGCTCATGCAAAGATTGTATTCGGACATTTTGGATCTCTCTGGGAGGCCGCAGGGTCTTAAACACGGATGTTTCTTTGGGACACAGCGGCTGCAGCATCCAGCCAAATGCTGCCACAGCACCAATTCTGCTTCACCAAGCAATCCTATTGCATTCCATCGCACAGTAGCCGGGAAGGGCGGATTCGGGTACAACCCGATCGCAGATGCTGACTCACAACTGCGATGGTGTTTTTTGCACTTGACGTTCGCTCTGCACAGTCCGTTGCATAGCGGCCTGCGGGTTGGATTTTCCAGGGCATCGGTTGTGTGCCTTGTTCGGTCTCGACTTGCATGCTTGGAATATACTGTATTAAGCTGACGTAACGCCGGGCCAGCCTGTTTGATTTGGCAAGCACCTGCGCCATGTGCAGCAGTGGCGTTGTAGCTATGGGGCATTTCAAGTCCGTGCGCATAATGCAGCATACCAGATAATAGCAATCCTGCTTCCCCAAGCGGATAGGCGGGGGCGCGCGTCGTGAGGTGGACGGTTTTGAATCTGCTGCACGGCTCCGCGGGCAGTTGGTGCAATTGTTGGAAGCGAGGCCTTTGGACGGCACCTTGGCGAGCGCAGGGCTTCGGCTGGCATTTGTTCTAAGCCCGGAATGCGTGGTCGGTGCTGTGTATGTTCGTTTGGAGTGATGGACAAGGGGCAGTCATCCTTTTGGCAGTGGCGTGCAATCACTACGGGTGGGAGCCATGCAGAGCTCCCGGCGCATGTTGGTCTCGCCCTGCTGAACATATGGTTGGCCAATTGGCCCGTTTGTGCCAGCATTGCGCTTCCAGCTTGAGGGCAGACAGACAGAACGGTTCAACCCTCGTTGCTAAGAACACGATTCCGCTCTGAGGGGGTGCAGCGGTCTATTCCCCTGCGACCGCGATGGTGCTCCGGGATCTGGTGCAGAATGCAGAAGCTTGGCGGCAATTAGTTTCTTGCCACGAGGCAATTCCCGATAGACCTCGAGCTTCTTCATTCACAGGCGAGCCACTCTCCGTTTTGATATTTTGCAAGTGCAGGATTGCCTCCATGCTTTAGGGTGGCTGCCACTTGTCCATCGTGCAGGTTTTGCCATGAGCATAATCAAGTGCTTGAATATGAGGATTTGAATGGGCAGCGTGATAATTTCCTAGGAAGGTACGCACATCTCTTGGTCCAACTCACAGCGAAGCGAGGAGAGACTTCACGAGTACTGCAAGCAGCAAATGTCGGAGATGATGGTGGAGTTTAGCCCGCGTGGACTAAACGGCAAAGAGCGTCCTGGCTGACAAGCGGGTGAGGTGCTCTGTGAACCAGGCTGCATATTGATTGGCTCCTGGCGCTCTATGCTTGGCCATTGGCGGTTTGGATGCTTTGCTACAAGCGCAGTCACTGCAGAGTGCAGCTGCCTCGCATGCTAGCACAAGCACTTGCTTCAATTCACCCTTCGCTCTGGGCGCCCGACTTTGATTCTTTGGTGCCCAGCGCCCGGAAATGCCGACTGAGGTACCCTGTCACAGTGGGCGCGTTCACCGCCATTGGGGAGGTGAAGCGACAGCTGCGGTGCAAGTACTTCAAGAAATCCGCCGTGAGGATTTGCACTCAAGACGGGCTGGTGGAGCTGCAGGCGCACCAGAGAGAGTGAGATTGCGACTTTGGCAAGAGACAGCTTGTAGCCACTGAAACGCACTACTGAGGATGGAGTGTGAAATGGCAGGTTCGACTGCACAGTGCTAGGTGTGGACACGTTCTGCTTCAGATTCGCGTTGGCGCTTTGCTTGCATCCTTGCATTGCAGGAGGGCAAGTTGCTGATGGACTACAATCTTGACCAAGCGCCCTGGCCAGGGCTTTGCAGACTTATTCTTTCCGGCAAAGCACCGACCTCATTTGAATTGGGTGGCTAGTCTTTGTGATGAATTGTACGGGTCCCTGTCAAGTCGAACGCAGAACACGGTCCCAAAAGCACTGGCAAAACCCACGCGCGCAAGTTCGTTTTCGCTAACACCCAGAAAGGAAGTCGTTATCCCAGCGAACTCGGCACCTCAGGAGTTCAGCATCGTCTTGGAGGACGTCTTGGCGGCCAACCAACTGCTGCACCTGCCCTTCACCGATGCCAGGAACCTCACCCTTGAGGCAGTGAGCGGCCGAAAGTGCCAGGTGGAGAACCCCGAAGGGGTGCATCCTATTTGTGATGGCGGCCTGGCTCATTGTGCACGCGTCGGGGTTCTTGCCTGTTCTTGCTTGCTTGCTTGCTTGTGCACTGGCTCATTGCTTGCTTGCGTAGCTTGTGTTTGCCTTGCTTTGACTTGCCTCACCTCGCCTTTGTGATTTGATTGTTTTGTTTGGTGAAGGTTTGGTTTTCTTGGTTTGGGTTTGGTTTGTGTGTTTGTGTGTTTGTGTGTTTGTGTGTTTGTGTGTTTGTGTGTTTGTGTGTTTGTGTGTTTGTGTGTTTGTGTGTTTGTGTGTTTGTGTGTTTGTGCGTTTGTGTGTTTGTGTGTGTGTGTGTGTGTGCGT